GTCCTTCAATTTTGTAATGTTCTTCTTTTGGAGTATCATCATACTAATAAGCACCAATTAAGTCACATCTACTGACAAAGGATCATGCAAAACAGATAATTACATATTATTGTTATTTAATTATATCCATCACTTGGTGCAACATTTTAGGAAGAGGGGTTGGAATTTCTTCGAGGAAAACAACATATTAAAACAAATTATATAAGAACCATGTCAAATATTAAATGATTACATGGGAGGAGGGAAACAATGAATTGATTAATATTCTTCTAGCAATAGTTTGCAATTTAGAATGATGTTATCACAAGTTAATTATATTATGTAGGGCCATATTACTGTTCAACTTAGTTGGAAAATTAAAAAAGAAAAAAAGAAAAAAAGATTTGTACTAGAAGTTTACTCAGTGATTGTGATATGACACAAAAAAAAAAAAAAGATTGATTAATGGAAAAAAGTCATTATTTTGAGTTATAATCTCAAGGTTGTGACTGGAACAAGGAATATATGGGTAGAAGAATATATTTGAGTAGTGTGATTGAAAGATAGAGAAAGGTAGAGAAAAGCATGACCACAAACATGCACCAGATCGAAGACCACGGCCCCTAAAAACCCTAGTAGGAGGAAGATTGGAAGTAGCTAGGGCAAGAGACAAGGTTGTTTGTGTGATGGATTGTTTTGTTCTGATGATTAATGCACACATGTGAATTGGTGGGTACGCGGTGATTTGTCCATGTGGAATGAAGACAATGTGTTGGATCAATTTGAAATATATGAATTGCATATTACGAAAATCCATCTTCCCATACATACATACACACATACATACATATATATATACACACACACACACATACAATATGCTTGTGGTAGCTGGGAACTTCCTATGCTTAATTTCTCTTCTTAAAGTTTGGCAAATATGCTGTTTGGCAGCTCAGAAAGTTTCCAAGATTTTTTTATTTTTATTTTGTTTCAAACTAATTACATGCAGCAAACTATATAGACTCTATTACCAAGACTGTAACCTAATGGTACTTTCTTACATTTTAAAGTAAAAGATCAAATATTCAAGTATCCGAATAGGCAAAATTGATCGTGAATTTCTTGCTAAGGTGTGTGCATATATATATTGACAAAAAAAGGAGGTATATGGAGACTCTCCACCTAACCATAGCACACACATCATAAATTAATCATAATTGCCATTTTATGGCGCGCTGATCTCTTTTTCTTATTGGAATCCTATATAGCAACTGTTTAGATCATTGAGATGTGCTTAATTACCATTATGTGGAAGTGTCACTTCATTCTTAACGCTTTGTATCTATGGAATTGAATTCATGCATGATATATATATATATTCTCCGTGTGGACCCATGAGATAGATAATTGGACTCAATCTGTCATTCGACCATCCTCCTCAGCTAGCCTGATTTAATTTTTGGGTAATGCATTTTTTGTCATCTATTTCTGAATTATATCCTCTGCTGGAATCTCCAATTGCTTGTATTGTTGCAACTTGCAAGAGGTTATTAACCTACCTACAAACTGTCGTGTATACAGTTGTCAGTGATAATTGCTTGGTTGTCTTTGTTATAGTGTAACACAAAATTAAATCTCTTACAAAAACAGGCACAGAAACCCTACATGTTATGTTACTAAACATTCGATGGATCCATTCCTTCTTCGGGGATAATACCAAAAACATAAAATCAATTTCATATTTAAATGAAATTATTCAATTTGATTTCGAAGTTGTTGTGGTCATATGTCTTGATAGGTTTAAAGCTTTCTTTTATTTTTAGGCGCATATGCAATACTATTACATTGAAGATGTAATGTTGATACAATACTGGTATAGTACATTTACTTAAAAGATACAACACTTATACAACATATTTATTTCGAGTATGTAATATTTTTACTTTGAAATTGTATTCTCAATGCAGTGATATTGTATATAAACAACAAGTACAAAAAAAAAAAACAAAAAAAAAAAATTGTACCCGAATTCATTAAAAAAAAGACATGCTGCGTGCAATGTTAAAAAGAGGGTAGACATGGTGTACAATTTGTATATCAATCACTTAATGGTTAATTAAGATACACACATGTATGTTATATGATTAGGTATAATTTTATTCATATCATCACATTCTCATCTCATATATATATATATATGAATAATTGGATCATTAATTTCTGATTACTACACTGTGTATTAAAGACTTACTGATAATAGGTAATGAGTTATGCAGATTAGGCTATATAACTTATATTTTGTTTGTGTGTGTGCAGGTTTATATATATGTATATTTTAGAGATCTATTCGAATGCAACATCCACCCACAATTTGGGACGACAACTAGAATGGTACATCATACATGACGACAAAGTGTGCTATGAAGCGTGTGAACTATCAATATATAATTTTATAAGAGACTAAACCAAACTGCATTGCTGTCGGTGCTAATTCTCTTTATACACTTAACAAAGTACCACTAAGTTACACTTTGATTGTTGCGAATAATTATTGGGTAATTTTTAATTGTATCCATGATTTTAAAATAACTTTCTTTCCTAAACTTAATGGATATTTCTCAGAGACTTTATTTCTGTATTTAATACTTTTTAGATATTTGAAGATTTTAAGACACATATTTAGCAAGTCTGTAAATTAATCTAAAATTTATTCACCAACAAAACTCTCAACTCAACTTATTTGTCATAATTTAGTAAAAATTTGTTATAAAAATATATAAACATGTAATGACAAACAATTATTTGATAAATTCATCCATAGATACATGCATATATTAATTTTATATGTATCTATATATATATATATATATATATTATCATATTATCAATTTTTTTTTTAACAAAAAATTTGATGGTATCATATGATCTCTATCTTGTCGTTTCTAAATCTGATATGTATGCCCATACTTCATAAGTTGTTGGAAAGAATTTGACTTGTGTCATATATATGGTGTATAGGCTTCACAGATTGGAAGAAAGAATCTGGCACGTGAACGGAGCGAGTCAGAGTCACAGAGGAGGGACGGCGAGAGAGGTGTCGCTGAAAGGTAGCAGCTAGCGGAGGAAGGCGTCAAAGGTGGTACTGTAACATTGTAGTGTGTGACTGTGTGTACATAAATTTAGCTGTCAAATGCCTCCAAACACCTCTCACGGGGATCCGATAAATATAGAGTTCTGGACAATCACACCTCTCTCCCTCTCTGTCTGTCTCTCTCCCACTTGCTAGCCGTCATCTTTTTATCCCCTCCCCATACAGGCACGCACATACACTCCTATATACACACACACACACGTATGTGTATGACATTCATGGCCCATGTAAAAGGTCACTGTCCATGTTCATTTACCAAATTGTCCCAATTTTCAATTCTAAATCTAAAGCTCAGCTTCAAAACGTAACATTTATTTGCATTCTTTTCATCGCAGCTATGACGAGTTTAATTTGGGTCAAGGTTTTAAATGACCACCAACTTTCTCCTAAAAAACTCCCAGCAAGAAATGTATTTCAAGGGTTTTGAATTAAAACCCAACCATCCATGCGAAATTATAAATTAAAGATATATGAAATATTTGGGATTAAATATGAATGTCAATGCGAGATGAAATAAAATATTATTGAACCTAAATCTTCTACAATAAAAGGTACTAGTCAGCGGTGCAAATCCAACCACATGTAAACCTTCACATTATTCACTTATCAAAACGACATTATTTTATAATTCAAATTTTAGGTGAAATTTCAACATTATAATAGTGAAATTTTAAAACAAAAGTGGTGAAGTACTCTTCCAGGGTATCCTTCGATTTGAGCCACTTGATGACCAACCACCGGCAGATCCAAGGGAGGATTTGGGTGTCTCAAGCCCACTCCAAAATTTTTTTATTTTTATTTTTGTTATACCTAATTTTAGCAAAGCCCAAAAAAAAAAAAAAAATAATAATAAAAAATTTATTATTAGTATTAGCCCACCCAAAGAAATATTAACTCAACCCATTGATAATTCCTTGATTCGCCCTTGTGGCAAACCTGGATTACCCATAGAGGATTTTGTTTCAATATTAATATCAAGATTTGAGATGTTATTGTTGCATTTAGGATTGGATTAAAAATACAATTTACATAACTAATCATCTTGGTTCATCTTTATCATATTTGATAGAGCACATTTATTTACAAACTAAGGTTTGTTTGGTCTGCATTTTATTTTTTAGTGTTTTGTTTTACTCCGAAACAAAATAAGTGTTATGTTGTGGAGTGTTTAAAATAATAATCGAAATCATATTTAGTATCGTCTATTTGTTGCAAGATTTTTGGAGGTAAAACATGAAAACATGTGGTAAAAAAATGTTAGCAAGTTTGAAAAATATAATGATTATTTTAGAAGTGTCATTTAAGAGTTTTTGATTTTTTTAATGTTCTTCGCTACCCTGCTGGTTGTTATATAATGATGAAATATGTAAAAATATCAAATTGGTATTTCGATTTTTGGTCACTATTCACAAAATAAAATATTTTTTACTAAACATTTTTCCACTCACTTTATGACAAAAACAAAACATTAAAAACAAAAACGCATATCAAACAGATCTAAGAATTTTTTATTGGTGGGATTTTGGCTTGCTCAAAGAGGCTCGACTCCACCATATTATCAATATATATATATATATATATATATATATATATATGGAATAAGGGATTGATTTGAATATATACTTCTAGTGTGATTTAAAACATTCGTTCACCAATTTTCTTGAGGTAGTTGATTTTTGGCACGAGTGAGACAATCCTCCTTGTGTTGTTTACAGGTCTGTTTGACAAGAAAGCGACATGATATATACACGGCAAAGACTTTAGCCACAAAGGGCAAATTCATAATTTTAGGCAGCATATTACAATATAGTTATGTCATGCATCTTGCGAGAGCAATATGGTACTCATGCAGGAAACAAACAAGAGATCGTGTGAGTTGAGAGCTCATCTTCTCTTTAAATTGCCTTCAAAACTTGGTGTAATTGAAGAGAGAGAGAGAGGAAAGAAGCATATATGGGTGGTTCTAAGGGGAAAAAGAAAGCAGTTCTATATGAACAACTTCGTTCTGCTACTAACTCCAGTGCTGTACACTCCTCCTCCTCCTTATAATAATTGTTTCTTTTGACTTTCTTCTCTTTAATATATATATACTATTCCTTACATATATGACCTTTTGCATACCATACATATATACAGACTGTTTCCAGTACATCAAAACTGTATATAATTTTTTTTCTCATTCATCCCATATTACAAAGATGATCTCAATCTAAGCTATCAATATGTTGGTTTCTCTTTTTTCTTTTCTTTTTATTTGACAGATTAATATTCACACACACACACACACACACACACACACACACAATTCCCCCAGTTTGAAACCATCCTCAACCTCACCTTATATAGGGGAGGTGGAGGACATACCTAGCTACTCGAGTCAAACCTTTGGTGTTCTCTCTTGATTGAAAATTTTTTAGGCTTTATTTTAGGAAAAAGAAAGATAATATACAATGAGGTACGATCAATAGCTAACACAATTCAAGAATTTTTATGATCAATCAGCAATTAATATGACTAATTAATTTCTGACAAGTTATTTCAATATATATATATATATATATATATATATATATATATATATATATGAATTAAAAGTTAAATAGTACGGAGGTAGTGCAGATAAATGTTACATTTTGGGTTTTAATTAACTTTTTTGATTTATTGAATTTGGGTTTGGGTGCAGGTGAACAAAACCTCAATTATAGTAGACGCATCAAAGTACATACAGGAGTTGAAGGAAAAAGTAGACAGACTCAACCAAGAAGTTGGAGCAACTTCACGAATTTCAACTCATTACCAAAACCCATTACCAATGGTACTGCCATACCATTTAAACTACGAATTCATTTTTTTTTTTTTTCTTTTTCTTTCAATAATTAATTTATCACAGAAAATACAAGAAAAGGGGGCTTCATTTGTTAAATTACTGTGTTATCCATACTTCGATCAGCAGGTTACTGTGGAAACCCTAGAAAGGGGATTCCTGATTAATGTGTTTTCACAAAAGAATTGTCCGGGCTTGCTCGTCTCAATACTGGAAACCTTTGAGGAGCTGGGACTTGATGTCATCAATGCTACGGTTTCTTGTTCAGACTGTTTCCAACTAGAAGCCGTTGGAGGAGAAGTAAGAGAGCATCTCATTACGTTATTTATTTATTTATTTATTTTTTTGTTTCTCGATTGTTTATATATGCTGATTAATGTGCACTAGTAATATATGCACTTCATAATGATCAATTAAAACATATATAACATTTTTATAAAGAATTATGTAGTTGGGGTAGTCATTTTAATGTCATGTGTATATATATATATATATATCAGTTCTTATTACTACCTATTTAAAAGTATAATTGCTAATTGAAATTCCGAAAAAATCTCATGTATCAGTTGAAAGTGAAACATCCATCATGTGTGACTTTTGCAAATCCTAATGGTTTATGTACCCCACATATTCTGGAATTTATTAAATAAAAAATTTCTTGCCCAAAAAAAATTGACTAGTGTCTACTATTTTGATATAATTCTTAGATATATAATTGTAATTGCATTACAATTCATAATGGCTAAGAGGTCCAGCCACAATAACAAACTTTATATTCACCCATGAGTTATGTATTTAGGCTAACATTTCAGCCAAAATGTTATGCTTAGCATATCCCACACTATTCCATTTCATGGCAGCAGTTATTTCAACTTAGCATTTCGGTTGAAATGCTCGGCCGAAGTATTATTTTCCTAGAATAAATGATTAATTTATTTTCATTCCTCCAATATTATTTTATTTTATTTATTTATTTATTTTTTTTGGAAGGTGAAAATTTTAGAAGAAAATACAACATATGATTTTGTAATTTAGTGGGAATTTTATTAACTTGTGCAGAATCAAGGACAGGACGACAGCATAGATGCTCAAGTGGTAAAACAAGCAGTGTTGCAAGCTATCAGGAATTGGAGTGAAAATTGTTAGCAACAGTAATAATCTAGCCACCATCTCTTGCTGTCCCCATTTCTCTTTTTCGGTTTTTCTTTCTTATTAATTTCTTTTCCCTGTAGCCTATATATATATATATATATATATATATTTTTCCGGGGTAATTAATCTTTGTTTTTTCTTCTAGTCATCAAAGTTACATAGGTTGGGAATGTCTGTAGCTTCTATTTAATCTCTACCATGATGACAAAAGATTTTTTCAACTGCATGCATTTCCCAACTGTAAATAAATGAATTCTTAAAAAGGAAAAAAAATATAGAACTGTACAAATTAGGAAGGGCTTACCTAAACGAAACAAAGTAGACAAATAAGAAATATATATATATCCATTATATTATGACAAAACTGTGAAGACAACGAGAATGGAAAATCTAGGGGATGTAATAGTACTATTATAATTTTTTGACATAAGGAACAAAAAATGGAAGTAATAAAATTAAGCAATCACAAAACTGGATAGGGTATCTAATGTGTCCATCTCCACCTCGCTAACATATATGTCCGGGACTTGTATGATGGGCTTGACCCACAATGTGGGACAGTCCAACCCAGTTCTTGTCGGACACACCCACATCCAAGAAATCTAGATACATTACCCACTCTAATAAAAATATTGGGCCTGGACCCTTCCTAGCTAATGGACTTCGACAACATTCACTTTCCCAACTGAAAAATGGATTTGCCAATTATTTAGGATTGATTTCTCTTTATTTTTATTTATTTATTTTTCTCTCTTTCTCTTTTTTTCTTTTATTTGATGATATTAAATGATCAGTCCAATCATAAGGTGCTGGCCACCTTTCCCAAGCCCATAATTTTTTTTTTAACAATAATATATCCATACAATTTGTAGTATATTAGTATATAATGCCTCTCTAAAATTATATTTTTTATAAATCTCCCTATTTTTTTTTTTTCCTTTTCTTTCTTACTCTTCTTCTTACAAGGTGCAATGCAGATAAATATCAAAAGTTGAGTTTGTATCAATTTTAACGTCTTATGATTCTGACATATGACTTAAAAATATATATATATATCAAAAGTTGAGTTTGTATCAATTTTAACGTCTTATGATTCTGACATATGACTTATATATATATATATATATATATATTTAAGTAAAAGTTTGAGTGCTGAAGTCCTCAATTTATTTGAATCGAAAAAGAGAAGGAAAAAAAAAAAAAAGGCTAAAAGAAAAAGAAATTAACAAAGTGTACTACTCATTTCGGTGACGTGAAAGAGGTGCGACATGTTTGGTATTAGCGTGTTGAATCAACGCCTCACCAGAACCGAATGTGTAGGGGGCATTGACCTCAAAACCGCACATAAAAAAAAGAAGAAGAAAAAGAAAGAAACGTGTTTTACTTCTCTGGTTCTCCAAACCCCTTCTACATGCATCTCTATTATGGAAAATACACACACAAAATGGACGGCCCTTAATTTATATTCAAGTCTTCCCACTATGCTCATATCTATTAATGTACATCAAGTTTGTCTCCACATTTGAAAATAATGAAGTTTAATGGGACTGAGAATCGACAACTTTATTTGAAGTGACAAAAGTTCAAGAATGCACATTTCAACAAATTAACAAAGTGCATCTACTACATCATTTTACGTGTGTTTTAAAACTTTGAAAAAAAACACACACACACACGCATATATATCTATATAGACTATATATATATATATATTATGAGCACCGACATACATCATGAAACAAATTTTAAAATGTGCATTATCTCAATAGTGTTGATCTTTTTCAATGGTTTTGATACTACAATGGGGCAGCCTGTGGCCCTCCTACCTTCCATAAACTTTTTCAAAGAAATGTATTCACACTAGTAAAAAAAACGTTACTAGATAAATCAGATGACATATTTACTTTAATATTTGGTTACTTATTATATTATATATAAGGTGCTGGTTGAATAAAAAATTGTCTTACTGGGTTTTCATATACAAAGTTCAAATCAAACTTTTAAAGAACTTTACCAAACTTCTCGGGGAAGAAGATTGCCTTAAAATATATATTACATATTAGTTCTCCACCTCACTTTAATTTTTCAGTCTGTCATTATGGTTGCTCCAAGTTTATCCACAAGTAAATTCATGTGCTAAAAATTAACAATGAATTAGTCAAAAACATATCATTATGGTCATGATTTTTTGTCTTAACTATCAAAAACATATCATTATGGATCATGCAATTGAATTATTGTTAAAGGAATATCATAAAAAGCTAGCAAACATATATATCCAGAACTTTGAAATTTGAGGCAAAATTTGAAGGGTTAGACTTAAGAGGATATATGGCTTTGGATTATATATATCTATATATATATATATATATATCTGTGTGACCCCAATAGTGACATGAAGAATCTGATAGTATTTGAGAGTAAAGCAGACACTTCTACTGTAAGGAAGCGCGTGGGGTCTCTGAATATTTTCCAACCTGCCATGCCAATGCCACAACACAACTGTGTTCATCTAGAGGTAGACTTTTACTTTGTCTAAGCAACATTTGTCAACTAATCACACTCTAAAAGTAATTTTTAATAATTTGATAGGGACCAAGCTAGTAAGACTAAGAGCATGACATTATATATAAATTTGCAGGGAAAAAAAACATGACATTGCTTCGGTGCAGTGTTACATGTGTTGGGAAACGTGCTAGTTTTAAAATTTTTTGAGCGATTTTGATTTATAAATCTTGATTCATCATATATAGACAAGTTTTATACAAAAATAAAATATGATGTCTCATTTAATAAAACTAGATTGAACACTTACATCAAAGGTCTGAGTAAACCTTTAAATCTTTCCTCTAAAGTGAATATTCTCACTTATTTTAGATCCCATAGCAATATGCCTTCTCCTTGGATCTCTATCTTATTGGTAATTGTTTTGTCTTTAGGAATCACTCATAAGCCTCCATGAATGACCTTGGAAAACTAGGCTTGTGAGAGCCTCCATTAGATGAGAACATAAATCCTAATTTTCTAGAGAGAGAAAATAGATTCCTTTTTCCTTCTTCCAAAAATCACCCTTAAAATATACATAGACCATATATATTTATAGGCAACGTAAAGATAAAGAAAAGGAAACAACAAATCCTTCTCAATCTCTAATTCACACGTCTCAAATCTAATATGATTCCAATATCAAGTTGGGCTATGAGTGAGAATCCATTGGGCCTATTATTTTATTGGCTACAATGAATTAATAATTGGCCCGGTCCATGGACCCAATTCAATTAATTCATAAATTAATTTCTACTCCACTAAAATAAATTAATTGAACTCCAATTAAATAATAAATAACCTCTAAGTCAATATTACACTTTGACCCTCTATGCATAATTAGTTATCGGATAAATAAAGCCATCAATCCGACTACTTAATTAATATATTTATTTTGGTACCTTTGATTATTTCTGACTCGATCACAAGAAAATATTTGTTTGACAAAAATAATAATTTAAATAAATAAATATATAATAAATCATTTTGTCTAAAAATACACGAAGGCCTTCGAATTTACTTTGTGATCAACCATAATCAATACAAAATAAATACAAGTAGCAATGATGCAAATATTGAAAATATAACCCTCTAATTATTAATTACATAACTACCCAAAGTGTCGGTCTAAGGATCCTGAAGAATTCGCCGAACAAATCAAAGTAATTATTAATTAATAAAAGAGTCTATAATTTTCTTATGCTTAAGAGTCAAATGCCATGACAGTGATAGGGAGCAATTGCATATGACGGCTTTCGCAATCTATCTCAACCTAACGCGGATCCAATTCAAGTCTTAATTAATTATGAGTCCACCCATAATTACTGACTATGAACCATTTATGATTACTATTTATATATCATGTATTGATTGTCATCACATACATATATATAAATATCTCTTGTAATCAAATGAACACTATCAATTCTATAATGAATCGAAGTATAATAAATTGAATTCACCAATTGTATAAAATATAAATATTTCAGAAACGTCAGGAACATCTATCACTTTAATCCAGACAGGAATTTGCTATGCCAGGGCATATAAATCCCAACAGCTCCCACTTGCCCTCATAACTAATTCAAATTGCATCTAACTCCAATTTTATCCAGATGACGATCAAAATTATTGATCAATGACACCTTTGTTAATAGATCAACAAAGTTGTGTTCCAATGCAATGTTCTAGCCACAATACATTTTCTTGCCGAACAATATCATGTAGAACATGATACTTCCTCTCAGTGTATCTTGTTCCTCTATGGAACCTTGGGTCATTGGTTTGGACTACTTCTGCACTATTGTCGCAATATAGCTCGATAGGTAGGCTAGTATGCTCCACAACCTCTAAATCAGTGAGATTAAACCAAAAAGGCTTCCATTGCCGCCTTTAAGGCTGCAATGTACTTCACCTGCAGGTTTGAGTCAGCAGTTGAAATCTGCTTAACAATCTACTAACTGATTTCCCTTTCGTTGAGTGAACATACATTAAGTTATGAACCTCATAGTATCTACTTTTGATTGAAAATCAGAACTAGCATACCTGACTAGGACCATATCATCACATCCATAAATGAGTATGAGATCATTGGTTCTCTTTAGGTACTTAATGATATTTTTCACAACAGACCAGTTGTCAAGTCCAGGATTGAACTGATCTCTACTAACTATCCCTACTATGTAGCGGATGTCCTGTTTGGTATAGATCATGGCATATATGAGACTCTTATATGCCAAGGCATATTGTTCCAGTCTCATTCGCTCAATCTCCTTTGATAGTCTTGAAAAACTACTTACTAGAGAGAGCAATCCATGTCAATAAAATAAGAACTAATTCTTTGAGTTTTGCATACCAAACCTGGTCAAAACTTTATCAATGTAGGATTATTAAGACAAGCCTATTTTCCTTTTAACCTGATCTTGCAAAAGCTTGATCCTAGGAATATAGCTTACATCTTGAAGATCCTCCATTTAAAAGTAATTGAACAATTACCTCTTCATTGATGACAAAACTTCTACGTCATTATAAATGAGTAGGATGTCAACAATATATATAGAATTAGAAAAATAATGACATTCCCTTGTACACTTATGATTTATTCACTAAGAAATCTTCTAGTATCATTTTGTAGATTAACTTGCCTTCCATAGGTATCACCCTACTAGAAAGTTCTACAATATCCCAGCTTTTATTAGAATATATTGATTTCAACTCTGATTTTATAGCAACTCGCCAAAACAATCTGTATCCATATCGGTTCACGCTTCCGTGTAGCTTATTGGGTCCAACTCATGTTTAACAGGGATATCCGTAAAGGTCTCACCTAAAAACATGATTTTGTCAGATTTAATGATAATCCTCCCACTACATCAATGTACAGATGCAAGAATATGTGTACTAGATGATGCTGATGCATCAATAGGGAATTCATCTATAATTCTTAATCTCTATAATAAGTGTGTTCATCTTGTGGTACAACTGGTACTAATACCATATTCTCACACATTATACTACTAGGTATATGATTCATAATATGATCCTCCTATAGATAAACAGTGAGTGTAAACAATCAACTTTTATCATTGAGATCATAAAATAATCCATCCTAATGCCTTTAGAGTAGCTATCAAATCAATCATGCATATGATCTGCTTCCAACTAACTTATCCATATCAAGCGCACATGTGCAAGATTACCTCATATGTGCATATGATTCAAACTAAGATTTAGTAAAAAACACAGCTCAAACGGTATCCTTGAGACAGACTAAGATGGAATGCAGTTCATAATGAGCATCGACATCATTAACGCTAAACTCTTAAATGAAAGAGATAATGTAGCATAACTGTTTATAGATCTAACCATGTTAAGCGGAATTCTGTTATTCCTATTTGACACCTCAATCCATTGAGCGTCAATTGCGGAAAACTGGTACATAATACCCTTATTGACTATATAGACTTTGCACTATCCCAAGAAATACTCATATCCACGATCAGATCGAAGTGTTTTGATAAGTTTACCTAATCTGTGCTCCACATCAGTCTTGACACTTTCAGAATATACCAAAAGTTTAAGACTCTTGTCGCATCAGATAAATTTATCCAAAACTTGAGTAATCTTGCTTGGATGTTCATAAGACCACACGTGTCTGTGTGTACCGACTCCAATTGTTCTTTATGTCTAGTTCATTTGGCTGATTAAGCCCTTAGGGTTTTCTATCCTTCAATGCAAGATTCACAAGTTGGTTTAGGCTCCTCTGCCTCACTAGGTTATAAACCTTCTTTGACTAATCTTTGTATCTTATTTTGACTGACTATAACCCAAAAATAGACACTAAAAATATAATGAGTCAGGAATAACAAATTTTTCTCTTAACATTCAATCTAGAAGATATAACATTAGTTTTTACATCCTGCAAATCTTAAGAGTTTGTGATTATAGTATATTAACCATCTTTCAATGCACCAGAAGCAATCGCACATCTATTCAATATAAAACCAGTATTACAAAATAACAATACAGTTTTTATAAACCAAAAGTGAAACAAGAATTAGATAGCGTCTAACTTCTGTGCATAAAAATAGTTCTCTAATACTAATATCCTCATACTTTCATACTCCCACTGGCTTAGCTACAACCTTGACATCAGGTTAAAAGACAAATATATATCCATATCATCGAGGCTTCTGGATTCCTGAAATCCTTGCAACGAATTGCAAACATATTTAGTAGCTCCAGAATCTATCCATCAGGAATTAATAGATACAACCACATAACATGGCTTAATGATTAAATATATATTTTCCTATGTTACGTCATTGCTTAGACAGTTCGTCCTTTAGTGTCTTAGTTAGCAGCAAAAGAAATAATTTCATTCGTCCTCAACATACACTGCCTTATTCCCTTTAACCTTTTGAATACCCATGTTTTGTGCTAGCCTAGTCCTATTCTCATCCTTCTTCTTTACTTTGCCTTTCCACTTGGGCCTAGAAGAAGATGGTATAGACTAGGTTAGATTAATAGGATCGCTTATACTTTTGATTATCCCTTCATCTGTTACCAATTTTATAAGAATATCAGTGAGTGTGAACTCAAACTGATTCCTTATTTAGTTCATTCTAAAAGAGTCGAACGAGTTTGGTAACAAGGTAATAATCATGTCAACTTGAAACTTACTACCCAAGTCAGTCCTATTGATCTCCAGCTAATTTTTAAATAATAGACAATCATTTTCAAAATACAATTTCATACTGGAGTTCCTTAAGTTATCTTGATGGTGTTCAAGTCTGACATAGTACGTAGGCATACGCCCTATCTAATCTCACTTAAAACATCTCATTAAGTATCTTAAAGTAAAGGAATTAGGTATAGGAGTATTAAATACATTAAATACATTTTGTACCCTTACATTGTGAATAAAATATCTAAGTTTCTTTTTCCAGTCATTATAAAAGCGATCCACATACATTGAATATGTTAGCAAGCAGATAACATGGATTAGACATAATTAATCTGAATATAAATGCATTCATACAATATGCAAGGTGAATTATTAAAACTATCATGCATATTTAAAATTAAAATGAGTTTGTTAACCACATAATATAATAAATCTCAATTAAATAAGAGATCATTATCATTATTGGTGAACAATCCCTTTTAATTAATGCGGGTCCCTCAACTCCGTAGCATAATAAATCAACCAATCAATATGTCAATAACTTATCATGTTGGAGGAGTTCATTATTACTATTGTTGAGATTCATTTACTATTAGGTGAGCACTTCCATTAAAATAATAATACGTGGGTCCCTTAATCACTGCATGAAAAATCGGATAACCAATATGCCAATAACTTATTCAGTTGGCGAAGTTCATTATTGCTATTGGCAGGCAAATCCCATCATCTCCATATCTCTTAAGACAATGGTTTGTTTATTTATATGAAATGATTCCCTATTATGTTTAGTCTTTCTAAAATCACCTAGTATAGATCACTCCATTGGGGAGCTAATACTATTGATTTTGGATTGAGTGTATAACGTCATTAAAGCTCTAATGAAAAATAAAACATTAAATATCTTTTCATTATAATCTAGACTCTTTAAATCATGCGTAGGGCTTTATTTTTAAAGATCTAATTACAATGAACATTTAATATTTTTATTTTCATGAGACAACCATTCTTATAATATTAAGACTTTTCAAATCATGTGTGGGGCCTTATTTTTGAAGATCTAATTACAATGGTTTTAATAACAAAGGCCATGGGGTAATGTATAAAAATTCCCGCTCCCACTCAATTTTTAATCATTAATAATTAGGGTTTTAAATTTATTCATTTACATTATATAATGCATGCAAAACGTCTTGATTTTAATTCAATTAAATTTAGAAAATATTTGGACTTTAAACGATTCACTAATATTTAATTTGAAGCACACTTTAAAAATAATTTACAAAAATAATTTTTCATTTTCCAATAAGTACCCTCAAAATAATTAGTAATCAAATCCAATTCATTTTCATAATTTAATTAATATAAATTAAGTCATTTAATTAAATATCATGGATCCAATGCATGAAGAATAATAATTAGTATTAAATTATTCCATGCATCACAAAATAAATAACAGATAAAGCAAATTAAATGGCTAATGGATTTAGCTTTTAACATTTAATTGCTCTAAGTATAATACGGGCATCCTCCAACAGCTTGTAAACACCTGTAGGAAGCTGGTACGCGTCTGGAGAAGCAAAATAGAGCTTGGAACGCGCCTGGAGGACCCCACACGCGCTGGCACGTGCCTGAAGGATGCAGCGCCTCATCCCCACGTGCTGGGGATAGCAACAGGCGCGTGGCACTCGCCTTCACGTGCTGCCACGCGCGTGGGAGGTCCAAGGCTTGTCTGGCGTGTGCTCCTCACGCGCCAGCAAGCTGATTCATTGTTGTTGACCTGGCGCATGTTTCTCACGCGCCAGATGTAGGCTTGCTGTACTACACCAGATTATTATCCTCTCTTATCTTTGATCCAACAGTAGCTGGTCCACGCGCATGTGCACCGCGCCACACCAGATCATCCGTCCACTTCCGGTGCTGTCCCTCGCCGCCGACATTACTCCGGTAGCCCGAAAAACGCCGATAAATCCAGAAAAATTAATAAAAATATCCAGAAATTAAATTTAAGCCCAAAAAATTCCAGAAAAATTCTGAAAAATTTCAGAAAAATTCCAAAAAATTTCTGAGGCCTAATTTAACCCTCTTGGACCTTCTTGAAGCTTCCTAACATCCTTTGACGAAGATTACATGGTTTTAAAAATATTTAAAATTTGAAATACAATGAAAAAAATTAAATTACATCATTGAATTTTCAAACGGCTAAAATAAAGCCTTAATTACATTCATCCAAAGATAGAATTACATTCAAAATACCTATAAACTTTATCCATGGCCCAAACACACATCATCATCCATTCACAATTATACATACATCATCATGTATTAATATATATCAACATAATAAATCATACATCAGCATATATCAATAATATATATATGTATATATAATTTTGGATCCATGAATGATGATTTTCATAAAATCATGATCTTTAGTAATGAATTAAACCATGCTCTGATACCACTGTTGGGAAACATGCTAGTTTTAAAACTTTTTGAGGGATTTTGATTTATAAATCTTGATTCATCACATAGAGACAAATTTTATGCAAAAATAAAATATGATGTCTCATTTAATAAAACTATATTGAATACTTACATCAAAGGTCTGAGTAAACCTTTAAATCTTTCCTCTAAAGTGAATATTCTCACTTATTTTAGATCCCATAGCAATGTGTGTAATACCCCTAATTTGAAAAGGATAGTCTCGGTATTTTTAATATTTATTGTATTGCATTTTTATTTATTTTATTGTCTTTATCGCATTTTTATTTATTTTATTGTTTTTCATTTGTTTAAATTAGTTTTATGTGCATTATTTGGTTTAATTAATTGCTTAATGGTTTATTTGTTTAATCAGTCATGTTACTTAATATGTTTTTGGTAACTGTTTATATAATTTTATTTATTTATTTAATTGTGTTTATTTAATTGTTTAATCAATTTTATTTAATGAAAATTTAAATTTAAGGGAATTTAGTTTTCTGTTCTATACGTGAATTTATGGTTGCAATTTACATGGGTGGTCAACGTAGGTATATATCTTAGGTCGGTTTATGGGACGAGATAGGCTCTGGCTTTAAGGTTACAAGGATTAGGGTTTAGAGTTAAGCTTATAAATATATACGTGCGGTAAGCTTAGGGTTTGGATTCATAGCAGTTAACTCGGAGACGTGAATTGAATTCTGTGGAAGACACAGAAATTGTGAGGTACAGAGGCAGAACAGAGGAAGATAAGAGGTGTCTCTAGGTTGAACCAAGTTACTGGGGAAGCAGACTTGCAGTTTAGGACACAAACATATCACCACAGAAGCTGAGAATTTAGAGTTTCAAGTCTAAAACTCAAAGGCAAGTTCTTCTCTTTCTCCTTCTCTTTGGCTCGTGTTCTGTGCACCTAGATAATCTTTAGGGTTTAATCAATCAGTAACTGAAATTTACCTGTTTAACTCATGCTATATTGATGATCTGTGGTGTTGAAAATAAAATTGTTGCAGTGTATACAAGTTTCGTTCTAGTTTTCTGTTCTGCAAGCATGTTGTTTCTGTTGTAACTTTAGTCTCTGTATTTGATTGCAACTACTATAAACAATATATAGGAACAATACTGGGGTTATATAAAACTCATAGGGTTGTTAGTATTCTACTTTAAATATGTGTTGCAATTTGTTCTGTTTCAATTTGTCAAATAGTTTCAGATTTGTTCCTATCGCATGTTAGTTCGGTAGCAAAATTTAATCTCTGTGATTGGCTCTAATGGTTGTTATCAATCCTTTGGGATGTTCTTGGGTGTTAATAAGATACTTAAGATCAGTTTAAGAAACCAAACGGAAGGGTTGCAGTTGGCCGGAGTTGGAACAGAGGTCAGAACAAAGCTGAAACGGAGAAGAAACTCACAGGGGGAGAGAGAGCCGGCTCTGGAATGCCAAGAGCCGGCTCCCACCTGTTAGAGCCAGGTCCAAGGTGTGGTAGAGTCGGCTCTATGTCACCTTGAGCCTGCTCTACTTTTCTAGAGCAGGCTCTTTCTTTGTTTTGTGCGTAAAAGTGATTTTCAGTCACTGTTTGGGCATTCTGGGTTATTAATCAGTTTTAAAATTTTAATTGGGTGTTAAATAATAATTTTAACATGTAACTAAGGTCTTGAATTGCATAAATTTACCCCTTAGTTTAAATGGAATTAACAGTACGCTATTTGACAACTTTGCGTACAGTTAACGGCTGAAATGAGATTTGTTGATTAATTTTAATCTGGTGGTTTAGGGTGCTATAAAATGATTTTAAAATTATTTTAGATGCACAATGAAGTCTTTTAAAGTAATATATTGGACTTGTGACATAGTGGGGGCTCGGTGCTAAAGGATACAACAAAATATAAGTATATGACTTAGTACTCTGTTACCGGATGGAGGGAACTAGATCGCTTAGTTTAATTTAGCGATTTATTGGACTATAATATTATTATAGAACTAATTTTAAATACATGATAGGGTCATTCTTTTATTAAATTTGAACTATGCATGTGTTGGATGTTAATTGTTGGAATAGTTAATTTTTCGATGCAATTACATGGATTACTACTGGGTTTTAATTGCTAGATTGTTAAGATTCCTTCTGCAGTTATTTGGATGGTGGTTTTTAGTCTGTAAATTATTGAACTGTTATATATGTTGTAATTTACATGGATGTGGAGGATTGTATGTACCGGTATGGGATGGTGACATACTAGGGACGGTTTAGCTCAAAATGCATAAACCTAACCTAATGGATTAATGGAATGGATTGAAAGATATCGAATCCTAATTGTGACTAAGTCAGATCAGCTATAACCAAGTTGGATGACTTCCTGGATTAATGGATGGTAGTTAAGTCATATCAACTGAATAAGTTGAGTGACTAACTAGTTGGTTTATTGTATGTCAGTTTAATAAATAGTTGAATTGCATACCCTGGATTTGGACGGACTTTATATATATGTTTATGGTACCACGAGTTGAGCTTGAGACTCAGACTCGTTGGTTAGGGTGCGTATATGCAGTGGATGCGTAGCTGGTTATAATAGGTTGAGGTGTACCCTATTAGGTCTAGGTACTCATGCCCGCCTATTCGCATGTTGCCTTCTATTCAGGTTGAGACCCCTATTATAGACTAATGAATGTCCCTTAGTGTGGATATTTATACGTATGGACTAGATAGATATTGTGAGGTGTCGACGGTGTATCTGCGTATCGGGTCACTGTATGGATTGCAGTTAGATTAGAACTTGCTCGTGGGTCTGACCCACTCATTCATTATTCTTTTCAGGTACAAGACGGTTCCAGCCTTAGAGCTTGATCATGCTTGTCGAGGACAGTCTCACATTCATCTGATTACGTAGGACTTTTCTCGATCTTTCTAGCATTATCTATTTTCAGTTTTCAATTTCAGTTGAACTTTTGGTTAGGGGTCCACCAGTGGATTTCCAAGTTGTAACCTTGAAGTTTTGGAGGATTGGAGTTTTATTTTTTCAGTTATGCTTTGGGGTTTTTTTTTAATTAATTAAATGTTCTTTTAGTTTTAATTCATCTTTATTATTTTATTTTGTCATCTGTGTTCGCTTTAAAATACTTTAATTGTCTGATATTCCCTCGGGTTTGGGCTTGGGCCTGATCAACCCGTGTCTCGGATCCGAGGGTTATCACAATGTGCCTTCTCCTTGGATCTCTATCTTATTGGTAATTGTTTTGCCTTTAGGAATCACTCATAAGCCTCCATGAATGACCTTGGAAAATTAGGCTTGTGGGAGCCTCCATTAGATGAGAACATAAACCCTAATTTTCTAGAGAGAGAAAATAGATTCTTTTTTCCTTCTTCCAAAAATCACCCCTAAAATATACATAGACCATATATATTTATAAATAACATAAAGATAAAGAAAAGGAAACAACAAATCCTTCTCAATCTCTAATTCACATGTCTCAAATCTAATATGATTTCAATATCAAGTTGGGCTATGAGTGAATATCCATTGGGCCTATTATTTTATTGGCTACAAAGAATTAATAATTGGCCCGGTCCATGGACCCAATTCAATTAATTCATAAATTAATTTCTACTCTACTAAAAGAAATTAATTGAACTCCAATTAAATAATAAATAACCTCTAAGTCAATATTACACTATGACCCCTCTATGTATAATTAGTTATCGGATAAATAAAGTCATCAATCCGACTACTTAATTAATATATTTATTTTGGTACCTTTAATTATTTCTGGCTCGATCACAATAAAACATTTGTTTAACAAAAATAATAATTTAAATAAATAAATATATAATAAATCATTTTGTCTAAAAACACACGAAGGCCTTCGAATTTACTTTGTGATCAACCATAATCAATACAAAATAAATACAAGTAGCAATGATGCAAATATTGAAAATATAACCCTCTAACTATTAATTACATAACTACCCAAAGTGTCGGTCTAAGGATCCCGAAGAATCCGCCGAACAAATCAAAGTAATTATTAATTAATAAAAGAGTCTATAATTTTCTTATGCTTAAGAGTCAAATGCCATGATGGTGATAGGGAGCAATTGCATACGACGGCTCTCGCAATCTATCTCAACCTAACGCGGATCCAATTTAAGTCTTAATTAATTATGAGTCCATCCATAATTACCGACTATAAACCATTTATGATTACTATTTATATATCATGCATTGATTGCCATCACATACATATATATAAATATCTCTTGTAATTAAATGGACACTATCAATTCTATAATGAATCGAAATATAATACATTGAATTCACCAATTGTATAAAATATAAATATTTCAGAAACGTCAGCATCTATCACTTTAATCCAGATAGGAATTTGCTATGCCATGGCATATAAATCCTAACAACATGATGTGGCGTTTGTAAGAACACGATGACAAGTACTTTGTGCAAATAATAGGAATGATGCGGTGTTCACCGATGACAAGTATTTTGTGCAAATAATAGGAAGATATGTTTAGTTTGATGGCTGACATGGCATGTTGAAAAGTTAGCAAAATGCCTTAACTAATACTACGTGTCAGGTTGAAAAATTAAAGGACCTCACAAAGCCTTGAAAGCTCAGCCCTCGAGCATCCCAAACCCTGGTATTGCACCTAGTCACTAAGCTTGAGAGCCTAGACCTTGAGCGTCCCAAACCCTGGTATCGCATCAGGTCAATAAACATCGAGGGCCCAAACCTAGAGCATCCCAAACCCTGATATCGCACTATGTCACTAAATTTCGAGGGCCCATCTCTCGAGCATCCCAAACCCTGGTATCACACCAAGTCACTAAACCTTGAGAACCCAAACCTCGAGCATCCCAATCCCTGGTAGCTCACCAGGTCACTAAGCCTTGAGGGCCCAGACTTCGAGCATCCCAAACCTTGGTATCGCACCAGGTCACTAAAACCTCGAGGGCTAGACCTTCGAGTCCCTCAAACCTTAGCATAACACTAGGTCACTAGGTCTTGAAGGTCCATCATTCAAGCCTCTCTGATCCTCGCAGCGTGCTGAGACATTGGAACCCTGAGGAGCTCGCCTTTAGACCACCACAATTTCATGAGTCCAAACATAGCACGAAACGAAGGTAGGGCCTTCTTAGCTATGTTGAACATCACTTTGGGAAGTTTTGAATGATCTTGGATTGGCAGATAAGAAGTGAAGAAATGCCTCAAATGCCTCCGTTCCTAGCGAGGCCCGATCAATGAGATGATGGAAATATATTGTGACAGAAAATCTTAACATCGCATTTAATGCTCTGACAATGTTAATTACATGCTTGACCAACCGGCGGTCAAGTAAGGACAAAGAGCATTCAATGCCTCAAACAAGAGAGATGCCACATAGCACATGGCTCGATAAAGGGATTTGACCACTTAGGTTCCTAGGACTATCATGACTACTCAGGTGGTCATAAGTAGGAGTGAGTCCTGCAACGAACCATTGGTCAATACGTACCTAGAATGGTTTGTGATCTATACATAACACTCTCTCACAATGAATGAGGTAGAACAACGAGAAAGAGAAGAACTGTGACCAAGACTGTATGTTTTCCCTACCTCCATCTTGATCGATTTCGTGAGACCGGTCTCCTTCTCCTCCTTCGTCAAGCACCTTCTTTGCTTCCCTCACATTTGTGTTTAAGATATTAGCTTTTATATTTGCTTAGTTTATTGTGTTACAAAACGAACCCCTACAGTTTATTTTTTTGATTTTTTTCTTTTCTTTTTAAAAACTCAAACAAATTATATATATGTATGAAAGTATGTACAGAAGGACTACAAGAGCCAAACAAGTTTTCTGATTTTTAGTTCTTGTAAAGTTATATATATATATATATATATATATATATAAAATAATTTAAAATTTGTAGAAACTATTTTTTTATATTTCTTTAAAAATAATTTTTTATTTTTTTAATTTTTAGAACTATTTAAAAAAAAATTCTGGATCAAACTCAGCCATTTCTTTTTATACTTTCCCAACATGGCATACATATGGCCCATATGCAGAATTATATAATTTAATCCTCCATCGTCACTTTGGACAACTTGAAAAACACGACACTTGGATTATCTTATGTGCAATGATTACTAGACATTTCACATGGCCTATATATGCAGACTTGAAATATTACAATTCCAGTGGAACTTTTACATAGTTATAGTCACTTTCATAAGATTACTCACCAAACACCGGTAGACATAACTGTAGGTTTCTAGAAAGTTTCCATTTATTTTTTTGAAAAAGATACTCTGTTATATTTAGGGTATTAAATCGACGCTTTACATTTAAAATTAAAAAAGTTTAATTTAAAATTAAACCAAAATTCTTTCAATTTAAAATTTAAAATATCAATTTAATACTCCCAAATATAAGGTTATCATTATCTTTATATATTTAATATCTTATGAAATAAAATTAACCTCCTAAATTATTATATGTTCCCGAAAAAGAGCAAACAACCTAATTCATTAGGTGATTGTTAAATATGTCTTAAGAATTATTAAATTGTTCATAAATTATTATAAATTTACACTTTATAAGGAATTTGAAAGAAGTGACATGCAAATTTCTTATAGTTAAAGGGGACTTATGCAATTAATCCAATTGATGAATTGAAATATTTAAAAGGTCCTTAAACTTTGGCTCCTTATTTGACAGAAGTCGATGTCTTGAAATTTTTTAATTTGTTCAATGTAGTTATCTGCTAAAAGAAAATGAAGTGAATACGGAGTAAAATATATATATATATATATATATATATATATATATATTTTTTTTTTTTTCTCTTAATGCAAGTAGAAAAAAGTCACCTTTAAAAATAAATTAAAAAAAGTAGTAGAAAAAGTCTGGAAAAAATATATTCTTGCATGTTTTTGGTTAAGAGCAAAAAATTACAAGAAAGTTGTAGGACAATATGATTTTATAACTTGAAAAACATAAAAAGAATTACAAGAAAGTACTCCCATTTATTGTAGAAAAGTTTTGGAAAAAAAAAAAAAAATCTTGAACCTTGGACTTGTTTGGTTTAGTTTTCTAAGAACAATTTTCTATTTTTAATCAACTGAAAAATCATATATATATATATATATATAAGTTTATTTAATTGGCTACTTTTGAAAATTCAGTTAAGAACAATCTTTTTATAGATGATAAAAAAAAAAAAAAAATTCTGTTTTGAGTTTTTCTGACAACTATTTTCAGAACCAAAGAAACCATTAATTTCCTTGTGCGTGGCTCATTATAGACCGAAAGTCTGTAACATAGTGGCAATTCATGGATAAAAAAAATGGGGTTCAACGATATTTGCCAAGATTTTAAAAAGAAAAGAAAATTTGTAACGCCAATTTAGAAAGTAACCTTTCCAATTCACAAAATCAATATGAAAGAAAATGAAGTGATATTTCATTTGGAAGAAACATTAAGTCAATGAACTTCAAAGTCTTTTGGAATCTACTGGTTGGTGAGTTTGCGAGTGGTCGCCTATTAGGCTTACTTACTTTGGATTTTGGATATATATATATATATATATATATATATAGATTCCTCTCTAGTCACACGATTTATAAAGAAGCCATCATCATTTTTTCCGATTGACCAAACAAGATTCTCCAATCCTACTCTGTTCACACGCAGGCATTAATCATGACATGCACGAAACTTTGGCTTATAATAATTTGTAAATAACATAATCCCAAGCAGTAACGAGTCACCATATATTAACCAGAGATGGGATCCTTTGCTTAATGTTGAGAAGGATAAATTGACAACCTTTTTGATAAATTAATATTTTTAAACCGAGGAGGGCTTAATCGAACACTAACGTATTTGTGAGTGAGATCCATCCCTATGTAGTTGTTTCACATATCTATCTGTAATATTCTTAATTTTAAAAGAATACTCTCGGTAATTTAGTTTATGATTTTATTGTAATTTTAGCATTTGTACGTGTTTATTTGGCTTTTTAGCTTATTGTTTTAATTATTGTTATTTAGTTGACTTAATTGTAATTGTGAATTTTGATTTAATTATTTTATTTTTATTTGGTGATTTAACTGTTAAATTGATTAATTGCTTTTATTTAATTAAATTGAATGTTAAGTGTGTAAATACGATAGAAGACTTCGGTTAGGAGTATCACACTATCACGATCAGTTTGGCCAAATTATTAAGTTTGATTAACATTACTCTTTTAATATTATTTTATAAAAAGCGACTCTTCGTACTCAAATCTTTTTAGAATACAAAAGTTGATTATAACGCCGTAATTTATTTAGTATGAAATTTTATTTACACCGAGCAATGAAAAAAAAACTTTTTCTTTTAGGACGGTGCCGGGCTTCTTGTATTTCATGGTTTATAATGTACTTTACCCTTTAATATGGCATTTAATGCATATCTCATGCTAAAAGTTAACAGTGACATTGCATGAACATAAATTTGATTAGTTAAAAATTGTATATATACGAGTAGTTAAAAGGATTCCCTTATCAATGTGTGAAAAATTAGTCCAATAGCATAATATCTATGCTCTCAAATATGAAGTGATGAGTTGCAGTTTCATCGTGGACAATTTGGAGTTTCACTCATCCATGATTGCATGAACATAAATTTGATTTTGTTGATTTCTAGAAGAGTCGGATTTTGGATTAATTAATGCTTTAATCTTAAATTAATGGTTGAAATGTAGTTTGAGAAAATAAATCTAATGATTGAGATTAGCAGTGCTTGTGTCAATAACTTTCTCGTTGCCATTGATTAAATTAGACACAGAATTAAAATCCCTTGGAAGATTTGGATAATTAATTAGGTATGAAAGTGATATAATTATTTCAATATTAAAATTGGAAAAACATTCTCATCATTGATGCCCCACCACTATCTATCTGTCTGTACCGTATTACATATATATATATATGTGTGTGTGTGTGTGTAAAGTTGACTTCAGGTCATGACAAAGATGCTGCATAACGCGGACAATCAAGATCTCCTCGTGTATAAATATACATGCAAATTCTCATACAACCTCAAGCCTTCAACAACAAATCATATATCAGTTTCTTAATTCTCACTCTTATTGTAATTATTCTTCTGCTTCTTCCTTCTACGACTTTGGAAGTCATATTAGTATTACTTTAATAATGGCTTCTTCATATTATACTACTACTTCAACATCAACACCCAGAAGTGCTTTTACACTCTGCTTATGCCTATTCCTACTTGTTGGAATGTCCTCTGCTCAATTAACCTCTAATTTTTATGCCACTTCCTGCCCAAAAGCCCTTTCTACCATCAAATCCGCGGTCACCTCTGCAGTGTCAAAACAAGTTCGCATGGCCGCTTCCTTGCTCCGTCTTCATTTCCATGATTGCTTTGTTAATGCAAGTTTTCACTCACTCATCTCATTTTGTTTAATTATTTGTTTCCATTCTTTTCCCGCTTAAATTTAAATAATACTACGTAATAAAACTGTTGAAGTTTAATTAATGCATGTTTGTATAATGGAGTCAAATTTTAATGGAAGTACTGCATGTGTGTTATAACTAGCACATTAGAACCACATTTTTCACTGCTAATTAACCTTAGGATCTCGAAACCTCTTTAATTTGGTACCCAAACATTCACATTAACATGTGAGCAAGAATGAATGATTTTTATTTAAACAGCTACTATAATTTAAATTTGCTGATACAACCTTTCTATGGCTACACAATATATATATATATATATATATATAGATCACATTGATACATGCACCATCCATCATCTTCCCATAATCTATATTTGCTTATCCATTTTTCTCTAATTAACACTAGCTAGCTATATGGTGTCCGCGTAATTTAATAATATTTACAGGAGCAACAGATCTTAAAGATACCACTAACCCAAATGATTAGATAGATATGATTTCATTTAGTTAGAACAGTCCCATTTCATAGCCATGCGAGATTAAAATAAGTTATGGGACCCTATGGTGCTAAACTTGGCTACATAATCATAATAAATAGTTCTAAACCTTTTGATAGCACAGTCACAGAGCATCATATTTCCATGGAAGGTACCAAGAAGCTCAACCAATTATATGTTCTATGAGGCTCTTTCCAAAATCGTATATAGACTCTGCCAATTAATGAGCTACTTAATCATATAACAAGAGATCGAAATGCCAAATAATAGTAGGATGGACTAACATTTCATAATAATAATAATAATTTAAAGTTATAAGCATGGTTTCATGGTTACAAATCAAGAATGGGGGAGAAGAGAGATTATTAACATGTTTTGTGTATGTAATGTAACATGGTTGAAACAGGGTTGTGATGCCTCGGTGCTTCTGGATGACACGGCTACCTTCACTGGAGAGAAGACTGCCGGTCCAAATGCCAATTCACTCATTGGATTCAATGTGATCGACACTGCTAAATCTCAAGTGGAGACTTTGTGCCCCGGTGTCGTCTCTTGTGCCGATATCTTAGCTGTTGCTGCCCGAGACTCTGTTGTTGCTGTAAGCACACAACCCAACTTATTTTACTTTTTCTTAAATTAATTTCCATGAATTTCAAAGTAATGTTTCTTTGCAGTCAAACATTTTCGTGTCACTTTCCAAGCCAAAAAAAATATGAACCAAGAAAATTGTTTTGCATTGACTTACTCCAAGCAACATCTCTCACAAAGTAGTTATTTTTATAGGAATTTTATAAATAAATTTTGGTTATATAGTTTAAATCTGTAAATACTCATTTATATATGTATGTATATTTTATTATATTTTCAGCTGGGTGGACCTAGTTGGAATGTGTTGCTGGGCAGAAGGGACTCAACCACGGCAAGTGCGAGTGCTTCAAACACCAACATCCCTGCACCAAATTTGGATCTCAATGGTCTCATTTCTGCCTTCTCAAAAAAAGGTTTCTCTGCCAAGGAAATGGTGGCTCTCTCAGGTAATTTAAGTTTTATTTCAAATATTGTTACTGATCAACTTCATTATATTATAAATAAATATGACCCTAAAAGATAAAATTAAAGACCAAATTGATTAATGTTGTTAATTTCTTTTTCTTAATCTTCTTGTGCAGGAGGTCACACAATAGGCCAAGCTAAGTGCTCAAACTTCAGAACCCGGGTCTACAATGAAACCAACATAAACACTTCATACGCGACATCACTGAAAGCAAAGTGTCCGAGCACCGGAGGGGACAACAACCTCGCTCCCCTAGATGTCACGAGTTCGACAGCTTTTGACAATGCTTACTTCAAGAATTTGCAGATACAAAGGGGACTTTTGCACTCAGACCAACAGCTCTTCAGTGGGGGATCCACCGACGCTCAAGTGAACACTTACGCTTCCAATTCTGCAGCTTTCTTCACCGACTTCGCCAACGCTATGGTGAAGATGGGGAATCTTAGCCCACTCACCGGCACCAATGGCCAAATTAGGACCAACTGCCGGAAAACCAACTAAATCTCTATCTTAATTGTCATTACAATATTGACGTTTTTTAAAAAAACACAAAATGTAATTTGATATTGCAAGCTAGTTTTAATAATAATAAAAAACTCATTAATGCTATGTTTATGATCGATCTGCACAATCTACAATTCGAAAATTTTCACATGTTATACAAGTACATATCCTCTAGATTGCATCCAAAGATTCATTTCACAAGCTATATGTATATGCTGAAAAAAGGGAAGAAAAAGAATTAAATGTCTGCTTTCAAACAATAACATGAAACACTCTGTTTTTAAGTTGGAATTATACCATTGGATCAAACAGCGACTCCAATAGAACGTACGTGCATTACCCAGTGTAGTCGTTCACAAGAAAAAATTGAAAGCAAACCTAATTTTGTACATTATTGAATTTACAAAAAAGTGGTAGATCAATAGACTAAAAGTTATGGTACTCTTCATAAAAGAGCTCCGTCACAAAAATATCAAATTACAATTTTTAACTCGCTATTGAGTCTGGTTGGTGAATACATGCACACAAAAATTTGAGCAAGTTTAGGTCGATATATCGTCAACAACAGTAGCTGAGCTCGAGTACCGTTGAGAAATGAATGACCCCGGCCCGAATTAAGATTGACTCGCGTTATTTGTGAATTGTGACCCTAATATTTGTCAATTCACCTCACGCTTGAATCATCTGGTCAATGGTGGGTAGCCTGAAACCTGATAGATACTGTACACCAAGATTATAATTTTTTGGTAGGATATTTTGGTAATTTTTGCACATAACATCATAGTGTAATAATATTTATTTATTCTTAATTTTATGTATCCGCTGTTGTTTTGATCTTTATTGTGAAATCCTAGATTTTTGATCAACAAGTAAAAATATATGAAACTTTTACATAGATAGGGGCAGAACCAATGTAGGCCACTTGGCGTAGCCCCACTCATTATAGTATATCAAATTATTTTGTGTTTTGTAAAGTTATATAAAATTTTTATATTGTGTCCTCTTAAAATTTTAAATTTCTAAAATTCTCTCAAAAGTGTTGTTGTTGTTGATTTTTTTTTTTTTTTGGTACTCTTTAAATTATTATTTCCTTAAAAAAGAAGTCAAATTTTTATTTCTAAAATCAAATTCTATTTTTTTTTTTTTTGTCCTTTCAAAGTTCTTTCTTTTTCTTCTTCCTTTACTTTTTTTTATTCTTAAAAACTTTCTTTGTGCACATTATGCCAATGTTAGTAGATATATATATATATATATATATATATATATATATATATATATATATATATTGTTTTTTACATTGTGACCCCAATTAAAATCCTAGCTCCCCTTTGATAGAGCTGTAAATGAAATGAATCGAGCCGAGCCAAGCTTGGGTCCGCTCGGACTCTGCTCGTTTGTATACGAGGTCTACTTGGGCTCGTCTTGATTTTAAAAGCATGGACTCGGCTCGAGCTCGACTTGTTTAATAAAAATATTTTTTTAAAAAATACATTTAAAATTTGTTCTCAAAATTAATTAGTATTTCACAATATATATATATATATATATATATATATATATATATATATATATATATATATATATATATATATATATATGGAAGATAAACCTGTATTATAAATATAAGAATAATGTACATTAAGCCCATAACATAGACAAGTCCTAATTAAGTGATACAGCCCAAATAAAAAACCCAAGTGATGCTTTTAGTTTCAATTAACAAAACCCAACCCATAAGCCCAAAAACAAAGTTCAAAGTCACATGTATTCTCAAAGTCACTATCCTGAATCATCATTACTTTATATATATAAATATGTATAGATATATAACGAGCCCGATCCATGTTCATGAGACCATGTTCACGAGTCTATACAAGCTAAGTTCAACGTTGTTCGGACTCGACTCGTTTACTAAACAAACTTGAAAATTGAGCTCGAACTCGGCTCATTTACTAAACGAACAAGCCCGAGCCCTGGACATAAAAGCCCTCTTATTATACCTAAATCAATCCGTGATGCGATATTCGTATATCATCCACACCAGGCACAAAGTAAATAAAACATACACTTCATAAACTAACAATATCTACTAGATGCGCGGGGTGGATCATAAGAGTGCTTGCAAATTGTTTATTTATTATTGTTATTATAATTTTTATTTTTTGTCTCTTTTTCACAATCGTATTCTCTATATCAAATTGCTATTTTTAATTAGTCATCCTTTGTTCAAAACGTGAAAGCACTGTGACATGTTTTGGTATTACCGTGTTGAATCAACGCGAATAATGTGTAGGCCATTGACGTATATTCCAATTCACACCTCAAAACACATAAAAATAAAAAGGGGGTAAATTACGGTTACCTTTCCTGAAGTTTAGACGAGCATTTAAAATTTATTACCCTAACCTCCTTGAAAATTATTAAAAGTCAATTATACCTTTATATGTAATATATTTTTATAATACAAAATATATTATAAAATTTTAAAAAAAATCAAATTTCTATATCATCTTTCTCATTACTTTCTCTTTCCTCTCCATCAACGTTACCCTCTCCTAAAAAAAATATTGCAAATAAAAAAAAAAAAATTGAGTATAAGGACAACTTGGTCATTTTATTAATTTTTTTTATAAGTTTTATTGAAGAGGAGAGTTGTAGAGCATACATCTAAATCTTAAGGAAAGTTAAAGTAATAAATCTTAAATGCTCTACTTGTGTGATATTTGTCTCAAATATACTTTGCTCAAAAGAAAGAGATCTGTTTTACTTCTTTGGTTCTCCAAACCCCTTTAGAAACTTCTAACATGCGCCCAATATGGGAAAAAAACAAAATTGTTGCCCTTTATGCGCAAGTCTTCCCATAATGATTATCCATTTTGCATAAAGTTGGTTTCCACAATTGAAAATAGAGTTAATTTCACTAACACCTCTATAGGTTTGGCCAAATATCACATAGAAATGTCTTTCGAAAATTACTATCACTCAGACCCCGAATGACTTTTCTGTTAATGACACCGTTAAAATATTTGAAAAGATAATTTTACCCCTAATTTTCAGCAGGCTTTGGGTACTGAATTATACCTTAGTACTGCTTATCATCCTCAGACTGATGGACAGACTGAGAGGGTGAATCAGATCATGGAAGATATGCTTAGGTCGTGTGTTCTTGATTTCAAGGGCCACTGGGAAGATTACTTACCACTGGTGGAGTTTGCTTATAATAATAGTTTTCAGAAGACTATTGGTATGGCACCATTTAAGGCGTTATACGGCCAATCGTGTCGATCGCTTGTTTGTTGGATGGAGGTTGGCGAGAGCAGATTCTTGGGTCCTGAGTTCATCAAGGATAATTCTGAGAAGATAGCTCTTATTAGGAATCGCATGCGTACTGCTCAGAGTAGGCAGAAGAGCTATGCTGATCGTCGCACTCGTGCTTTGGAGTTCTAGGTTGGGGATCAAGTGATACTCAAAGTGTCTCCTATGAAAGGAGTTATGCGCTTTGGGAAGAAAGGGAAGTTGTCACCGCGATTTATCGGTCCATTCATGATTACGGATCGAGTTAGAGCTGTCGCTTATAGATTGGCACTTCTAGATAACTTGGATCGTATCCACAATGTATTCCATGTTATGGAAATTTCTGCGAGATGCAGATCGGTATCAGCATATCAATGTTTGGGAGATTGAGTTGCAGCCGGATGCAACTTATTTGGAGCCACCGTGTCGGATTGTCGACCGTCGGGATCAAATCCTTCGTAATAAGGTTATCCCGTTGGTCCGTGTTCAGTGGAGTCACCACAATGAGGCTGAGTCCACTTGGGAACGGGAGGATACCATTCGCTCGCAATTTCCTGATGTTTTGAAAGAAGGTAAGAGCGAATTCAGAGGACGGCATTTCTTTTATTAGGGGGGAAGAATGTAATACCCTTAATTTTACAAATGATAGCCCTGGAATTTCATTAATTATTTAATTACAATTTTTAATGGTTAATTGTCTAATTGCTTAATTTGCTTGAATTATTTGACCTAATTGTGATTATTTAATTTATTTGAATTACTTATTATTATTTAAATGATGTGTCAGTTTACTTGATTATTTGTTTAATTGATTTTAATTACACTCATTGTTTAAGTTAATTAGTTAATTGTTTTATTTGACTTTATTTAATTAAATTTCATTATTGTTTTGCCTTCACGTGTCTGTTTATTGTTGCTTATATATAGTTACATTAGGTTTAAACTTTATATGGGTAGCCGACGATATGTATATCACAGGATGGTTTATGGGCCGAGTTGGGCTCTGTCTCTAATCTTATAAGGATTAGGGTTTTAGGGATTAAAGCTTATAAATACATCATAATAATATAGGTCTAGGGTTACGATCAAAGCACTTAGTTCACAGACGTAACCTAAGTTCTGTAAACACATAAACAGAGGGTTGAGAGCAGAGTATTGAAAGGTCTGCCAAGGGGAGAAGTTAGAAGGGCAACGGGGAAAGGCTAAAGGCAAGTTCTAACATCATCTCTTTCCCTTTTACTCGTGTTCTTTGCATGCCTAAGTAGTTCTAGGAAATCGTTAAACGGAATTAATTGACTATGCATGTTTAGAACTCATTATATCAGGATGTGCTGAAACTTGTTGTAAACTGTTTGTTTCGTGTCCAATTGTGTAATTGTTCTTTTAAATTACTGTTAATCAATGCATGAAGGAGGTAGATGGGTTTTTTCTGGGTAGGTCTGAACACAAATAAAAGTGTTAGAAGCTGTAACAGAAGGGACGGATGTTGTGCAGTCAAACGGAGACGAAACAAGCAGACATATGAGAGGGGGAAGAGAAGACGGCTTGTAATACCCCTAATTTTCAAAAGGATAGTCTCGGTATTTTGTTTAATTGTTTTCTGTTCATTAATTGTTTTCGTTTTGAATTATGTTTTAATATGTTTTAATTGACTTTTTTACTTATTTGATTTACTTGACTTATTTTGTGTTATTTGAATTAATTAGTTGGTTTAATTAATTATTTGAATTATTTACATTAATTGTGATAATTGTGATTATTTATTTTCTGTAAATTGTATGTTATTTTCTGTTTTACATTAACTTGGAATTTTATTGGTTCTTTAATTGAATTAGTAATTACATGTTTTAATTTATGAC